TCCCCATGTGGATAATTTGATGGCAGGCAAGGTGGGCGCTCTGAACGAAGCTCTTCCCACACTCTAAACATGTATATGGCTTTTCTCCAGTGTGGATGATCTCGTGGGACGTCAGATGGGCGCTGCGACTGAAGGACTTCCCGCATTCCAAGCATTTATACAACTTCTCCACTTTAGGGATTCTTGGCGGTGTCAGCAGGTTGGATGGACCATGAAAGCTTTTGCTGAAATCGGAGGGTTGATGTTGTCCATCAGCATGGACAGCCTGATACGATGGAGGAATTAAAGAAACTAGAAACTTCTCTCGGTTTTCCAGAAATGTATATGAACTCTCTCCTTCAGAAAGCATTTCCCTGTCTCTGGAGTTCTTCCCCAAAATACCTTTCTGGGATTCAATCTCGGCAGATATTTCCCAGTGATCACTGAGACATCCATTTCTTTCCTCTCCTTCCTTTTTTTTTTTTGCTGCAGTGAGATTTGATGGAACTCTCCAATGGAACGAGGAAGGGGTTTATCGATCCATTCTTCTTGTTGGCTTCCTTCTTGGTGTGAGGGTTGAATTCGGTTCCAGACTTTCTCTTCAAAGAGTTCCTGCTCAATTTCTTCAGAGAAATTCACACATAGTTTCCCCTCTGATTCACTTTTCCATTCAGATCCTGTTGGAATAAAGATTGGGAGATGGTTAGAGCTCACACCAAACTATTTAGAAGTAGACTCTCTGGGAATATTTGGGGTTCCCCATTAAATAACAATAATGAGGAAAAAATGTTCTGGATAATGGATGTCCATGGAGGTTTTCAGTCATCCAGGTCATGGTTGTCCCAAAGGTGCTTTTTCAAGAGGCAACTGGACTTTGTTGTGAACTATATAAATAACCAAGTCCATAATGCGCTTTAACTCCCCTTTAACATAGGTATAAACAAATTAAAAATAAACATAATAATATAAACAAGTCGATATCCTAATTATTAAACAATACAATATCCAAATTATTAAACTATACTAATACTAAAGATAATAATAAAACTAATAAAAATTCTACTATAATAAACTATTAATAGTAATAATACTCTAAAATTTACTCATAAACTAAAATATGCTATGTTTTTTGCTATTTCAGTTAGTTAGTAGTGGAAATATAAATTTCCAAGCCGGGAGTATTCTGAACCATATAGCTCTATGTAACCTCGTATAGCTCTATGTAACCCTGACTAGAGAGCATGTATCAGTATGTCAGTGGAAGGAGTTTCTAAAGGGCATTGGGAGACTTCCTGGACACAAGCCAGATTGGAATGTCTTTGTCTGAAAGAAGCATGGGCTATCAGATGTCACCCAATGAGCCTGCGCCGTTATAAAGATGGTATGGAAGAGAGCATCATCCTTTTACCTGTAGGAATGGACAAAAGATGTAATTTCCAGAAGTAACAACACAGCATGAATGCAAGTAATCTTTGTAATCTTTCTGATCAAAATATATTTCTTTTTGTTATGAAACCATTTCTACTGAGTTATCTATCTGACTTGATTTAAAGAAGGCGTTTTTAACTCACAGTCTGAATAGAGTATGTAGTGGGAGGGGGGTGAGCTGAAGCTGCAGCAGCACCAGAGAGGCCCGGGGAGAATCAGCTGGAGCTGCAGTGTTGCTGGGGCTCTGCTGAAGCCCTGGGATCGGCCCGTGTGGCTCCAGCTGATTGGGGCTTCCAACTGCCTCGGGGTGGCTGGCAGCTGCACGCAGTCTTCAGGGGAAGAGTCAGCTGGAGCTGTGAGGCTGCCGTGGCTTGGCAGGAACCCCAGAATCAGCACATGCAGATCCAGTCAATGAGTGCTGTGTGAAAAAGCCAGCCAGGCAGTGAGTGAACGCATGGGGGAGAGGAGAATATAAAAAGGAGGGGCTTGGGTAGAAAGGAGGAGTGAGAGAGCAGAGAAGGCAATAGGGAGGAGAGATGTCGGTGGGACAAGCCTGAAGGAGAGAAGGGGCTGGCATAAGTGAGGCTTCTGTGGAGGAAGCCTGAGGGAGAGAAGGAGTCAGCAACTGGCCCTTTGAGGGCAACCATAATGCTGATGAGGCCCTCAATGAAATTGAGTTTGACACCCTTGCTCTACATGAAACCTTTGGGAGTGGCCCTTTCCCCCCACCATGGGGCAAAGTCTCCTCCTCCTGGTGCCATCCTGTTGTCCCTCTTAAAAACAACTTTAGGGAATTCCAGGAGAGAAAGGCTGCTTGGCTTAAAGGAAACTCTTCTGCAAAGTCAAGTGCAGGTAGTCCTCAAGCTACAACAGTTCATTCAGTGACTGTTTGAAGTTATACCGTCATCCCCGCAGTCATGTGATCAAAATTTGGATGCTGCTGATGATAATGATAATGTTGGAAGGGACCTTGGAGGTCTTCTAGTCCAACTCTCTGCTCAGGCAGCAAACCTATATATGGGGTCCCCAACCCCCGGTCTGTGGACCGGTACCAGGCTGCAGCATGCCAGCAACTGGGCCACACAAACAAGCACCGGCCCATCCATGGGATGCAGGCAGCACACAAAACCACACACCCTCCAGTCCATGGAAAAACCTCTCTCCATGGAACCAGTCCCTGGTGCCCAAAAGATTGGGGACCTTTGCCTTATACCATTTCAGATAAATGGCTGTCCAGTCTCTTCTTAAAAACTTCCCGTGTTGGAGCATTCACAGCTTCTGGAGGCAGGTTGTTCCACTGATTAATTGTTCTAACTGTCAGGAAGTTTCTCCTTAGTTCCAGGTTGCTTCTCTCCTTGATTAGTGTCCATCCATGGTTTCTTGTCCAGCCTTCTGGTGCTTTGGAGAATAGACTGACTTCCTCTTCTCTCTGGAAACCCCTGAAATATTGGAACACTGCTATCATGTGACACCTAGTCCTTCTCTTCATTAAACTAGACAAGATATTTCTTTGGATGGTTCATATTTATGACAGTTGCAGTGTGCCGGAATCATGTGAGTACCTCTTGTGAACTTCTGACAAGCAAAGTCAATGAGGAAACTAGATTCACAACGGTGTTACTAACTTAACAACTGCAGTGATTCATTTAACAAACACAGCAAGAGAGGTTGTAAAATGGGGCAAAATTCACTTAACAACTGTCTAACTGAGCAACAGAAATTTTGGGCTCAATTGCATTTGTAAGTCGAGGACTACCTGGGTTTTCACAGACCCATTCTGGCTTGTCCGATGAGGCAGTTGCTGTTTTGCCTAATTCAGGTTGAGGACGAATCTGGGGCTTGGTTCATCTTTCCTCTCCACATTTTCCTCTTCTTTTTTAAGATATTTAATTTAATAGCAGGAGCAGTGAAGGGTTGGACAATGAATCAGAACACACAGTTATAGCTGATTGGTTGAAGAGGGCTGGCTACTGTATGAGGCAATCTAAGCTTTGATTGGTTACCTTGAGTGAAAAGGGGGAGGTTCTTTGTTTCCCGCCTTTTTTCCTCTGAGTGCCCTCTATAATTTACCTCATAATACGTTGATTTACCTGATATGCTGCTGTTTGCCTGATTATCTTATTTACTATTAATATGTTTATTAATATAAAACTATGTGTTTTGTGTCAGCATCTCTGCCTCCATTTGGACACCAGCTGTCCAATTCCCTAACATTTTTCCCTGCAGTCCCTGATCGCAGAAGAGCTGAGGAGAGGGACACACACACACACACACACACACACACACACACTGTTTCATGAGGGGCTGGCAGTCTTCGGCCCACCGAACGGACTTGCTAGTTCGTGCCCTTCCAACACACACACAGACACGGACCAACACGCCCCATTCTGTCAACATAGCCATGCCTTTACAACACCTCTGCGCCATCTTCCCCTTTTCTCTCCTTGCCCTTTGCAGTGGGCAAAAATGAATCTGAAATGAAATAGAAATGAAACAGACTGGGATTTGTTTCTTGAGTCTTTACTGAAGCTCAAAAGGTTTACATGAAGTCAGTTGTCACTATTCTAGAAGCTCAGCAACCGGGGACCACCTGCAGCTAAAGCAAAGGTGGAGCAAGGAAAGCGGATACAGGAAGAGTTGAGATGGAAGCGTCAACAAGGAGAGGTCCCTTAAGATCTTACTGCATTAGTCTTGTTGGAGAGAAATGCCTCTTCAGAGACAGAGGAAAGGAAGGCACGGTTCAAGGCAAGGTCCTGTTAGGAAACAGAACCTATGCCAACGGGTGAGGGGGGCTAGCACAATAGGCCTCCAGAGCTTTTGGGGGCTGATTCCCTTTTTTCGTTCATTTTTTGGTCTGCCTGTGGGAATAATGGTTCCTGAAAGAGCTGCACTGGGTTTTCAATGACAAATGAAGGCACATATACATCTCCCAGGATAACGTTGCAAGATCCAATCTGGGTCGGTCACCAGGACCAGAGGTTTACTGTTCTGAGCATTCAGACCCGTGCCGGAGCCCATCCTCAGGAAACCTCTCTTTACTGGAATACAGGTAGTCCTTGACTTGCAACACTTCGTTTAGTGACTGTTCAAAGTTACAGCGGCACTGAAAAAAGTGATTATAACCGTTTTTCACACTTAAGACCGCTGCAGTATCCCCAGAGTCATATGATCAAAATTCCGACACTTGGCGACTGACTCATAGTTATGATGGTTGCAGTGTCCTGGGGTCATGTAATTACTTTTTGCTGCCTTCTGTCAATGGGGAAGTCAGATTCACTTAACAACCATGTTACTAACTTAACAACTATAGTGATTCACTTAACAACTGTGACAAGAAAGCCAGTAAAATGAGGCAAATTCACTTAGCAACAGAAATTTTGGGCTCAATTGTTATCGTTAGTCGAGGACTACCTATATGCACTTTGGGCCATTCTGTAAGTCGCAATTATGTGATGCCTTCCTATTGGTTCATTGGGGTGTTGATGGCTGGTGATGGGCTGTTGTTTCCTTGTGCTGTCATGTTCAACATTCTCCACAAGTTTGATATTCCAAAGACCACTGTCCTGACTCTAGGGAGGAGGAGAGCGCAAAAGTTAGACGTCTGGCCACTCTCCCAATGGTTCCTCGGTGCCACTTAGACTGTCATATGGGAAATTCTCTTTTTTGGGTAAGAGGGAAAACCACCGTTTCCTGCACAGCCTGACACCAGGCTACCTGAGTGGTGGGCTATGAACGAGCTGGAGAGGGCAAGGATGTGTCTCTTCAAAGGGTTGGTGGACCATCTTCAGGTCAGTTAAGCAGGACAGATGAATGAAATTATAGGGTATAACCTCTTCAGATCCAGATCTGTAAGGCAAGGGCTAGATGAACAAGGAAGAGGAACGAGGCTGTTTGATTTCTAGAATCGTTCTAGGAATTGGATTACACTATTCATACTCTTCCTCGTACTTGGAAACTGGATTGACCCCATATCTATCAGCGAGGTGATCCCATGGAATCCGTCCTTGAGGTGAAGCCAGGTGACAGGGACACCATTGTCTTCCAGCCTCTTCTTATAGAGCAAGCCATCATCTCGGAAAATGTCATATTCGCAGGTTAAGAGGAAAGTCTCTGGAAACTGCTGGATGACGGCATCTTCCGCCAGGAGTGGGGACAATATGGGGTCGAAAACTGTTTTGTATTTTTGGAAAAGATCTTCTGAAAACGGACCAGGTACAAACGGCACGTAACCCCGGCCTTTAAATTCCTCCGGAATATGTTCCGCACTGATCCATTTCTGATACTTTGCCATGAGTTCCTGCGGGACATGAGCATTGGCCATAATTTCATTGACCCCGGCATCAGTTCCCGACAGATAAACTGTGGCAAGACGAACAGCCTCTTTCTTGACTAAGAGGGGAATAAACTGGTTTTGCTGGTAAGAAGGTAAATTTAAATCCAGGCCTTGTAGGAAAGGATAGATTAGTATGTGGGCCCGGGGCTGTGGCAGGTCCTTTGTCATCAGAAGTTGCTGAGCAGTGCTGGCAACAAGTGTGCCTCCGCTGCTGTCGCCAGCCAGCACGATCCGTTTCGGGTCCACCCCGTAGTCCTGCGCATTCTTCAGAAAATGTGATAGGGCAGTGTAGCAGCTGAGTTGTTGAGCTGGATAGGGGTGCTCTGGCGCCAAGGGGTATCTGAAGCAACATTCAGTCAAAATACAATCTTTCAAATGCACTGGCATTCCTATTATGAAGATGAATATATTATAGCTGCCCCACCCCAAAAAGACTGGGCAGCATGCAACAACCAATAGAAGCAGTCCTCGACTTACAACAGTTCATTTAATAACTGTTGAAAATTACAACATCACTGAAAAAAGTGACTTAGGACCGTTTTTCACATGACCGTTGCAGCATCCCTGTGGTCACATGATCAAAATTAGGGCGCCTGGCAACTGATAGTTATGACAGCTGCAGTGTCTCAGGCTCATGTGATCCCATTTTGTGACCTTCTGACAAGCAAAGTCAGTGGGATTCAGTTAACAACTGTGGCATTTTATGTTAAGACATAAAATGGGGCACTTAACAACTGTCTCACAAAACAACAGAAAGTTTGGGCTCAGTTGTGATTGTAAGTCAAAGACTAGCTGTAATTCTGTAAACTACTCTGAAGTAACCCGCGGCATCCTTGTTGGTTCCTTATTGCTGTCAGTATTTCAGCACAGGGCTTTTCAGCTGGTGAAACGCGTACCACCTGTGGCAGGTGGTACGGGACCATCCTAGAAGTGGTCGTGGGGGGAGGGGAATGAGCTGAACTGGCGGCAGCACCGCACAAGCCTGAACGAGAGACGGCTGGAGCTGCAGGGCTGTCAGGGCTCAGCAGAAGCGCCAAGATCAGCCCTGGATTTCAGCTCTTTCCTTTGCGGGGAGGGGGCCAGGAGGAGGGAGGAGGCTTCCATGTTCCTCAAATCTGGGGCAAAGCAAAGCAACAGGAACCAGAAATTGTCAATCACCTGGCTGACAGTGGCTGCACTGCGCTGGAAGCGCAAGGCAGAGGTGCCCTGAAAACGGACCAGAGAGAAAGCAGAGCAGAAGGGAAATGTGAAAAAAAAAACCAAAACCCACCTCCAGACAGCCTTTTCCCCTCCTTTCTGAACACCCTGATGGTCCCCTGGGATGGGCGAGGGAGGCAGCAAGAGGAGAGGGGCGCCGCCTGCTACGGGGCTTCGATCTGTACTTCATCTTGGATAAGTAAGTGGCCGGGTGTCGCGGTGTCTGTGCAGGATGAGGCTGGGCTGCACGGGACGCTTTGTTCTGGGTAGGGTTGCAGCAGCCCTGGCAGTTTTTCAAAACTCCGCAGCAGTTTTGGAGAAAAAACGCCTGGCGGATGTCGCGTTCCTCTTTCCTCTGGAGAAGGTTGAAGGAAAAAGTTTGGCTCCTTCACTGGTTTCTCTTTTTTTGGGGGGGGAGTTTATTTATTTATTTATTTATTTTTAATATTTATATGCCGCCCAATCCCGAAGGACTCAGGGCAGAGTTTAGCAAAGAGCAGCTGTCAGCTTTAGCCTGTCTGATTAGACTTACAAAGGCCTGTTTCCAAAGGAAATCCCTCGCTCGGCTTCCCTCGTGGGATGCAATCCCCGCGGAGCAACCGTTTAAGACAGGGGAGGGCAACCTGGGCTCTTTTATGACTGGTGGACTTCAACTCCCAGAATTCCTGAGGCAGCCATGCTGAGGGGAAAGGGAGAGGTTTCCAAGCTGAGCCAGGCTGGCTCAGGAATTCTGGGAGTTGAAGTCCACGAGTCATCAAAGAGCCAAGGGTCCCCACTCCTGGTTTGAGATCTCTGAACTCCAGAGTTAATCTGAAACTTGCTCCATGGCTGTGATGGATCATTGATTCAATCAATAATTAGAAGTTAGCATCTAGATACCCATGAAAAAGAAATACCTTTGGGAAATATTAAACAGGCAGGAACAATAGGAAAAGAGGTAGAAAGCCTAGGCCCAGAAACCAACTATTACAAATACGAAAGGCTGCTCCAAAAGAAACATTCATTTCCCTCTCTTAGAAAAGTCAAGCCAAAAAACAAAAGTACCAGAGAAGAGTCTCTCTCTCTCTCTCTCTCTCTCTCTCTCTCTCTCTCTCTCTCTCTCTCTCTCTCTCTCTTTCTCTCTCCCCTCTCCTCTCCTCTCTCTTCCTCCCCCACCTGTGATAAGCACTAGCCTTGAACAAACCAAAAGAAAGCTGACAGGTTTGCCCTATCTCAGTGATGGCGAACCTTTTAGAGACCGAGTGCCCAAACTGCAACCCAAAACCCACTTATCCATCGTGGAGTGCCGGGTGGGTGTGGCCCATTGGCTGGGTGTGGCTGCGGTGGTAACGGAAGACTGGGTGGGACTAAAAAGTTCAATCAAGCAATTCCAACTTTGCAAGATCTTTTTTTTTCCTGCAAGAAGCTGAAATTGACTGAACCTTTTTTTTTTTTGCACATGGCAGCAGAGGCCTAAAGCGAAAAGGTTTTATAAAACCCAGCTGAAGGCCTAGGACTCGGGCGATAGAACGCATGCCCACAGAGAGGGCTCTGTGTGCCGCCTCTGGCACCCGTGCCATAGGTTCGCCACCACTGCCCTATATACACATAGAAACCAATAACAGGATTAACCCCAGACACACCAGCGCCTACAACAAGATTAACCTAGATACACAAAAACCTCATCAACAAGTTATTTCCTTCCCTGGGTCATAGGATTAATCAATCCTGCTGAAAGGGAAAAAAACCAAGCTAGGAAATTAAGAAGAACAAACTTCTTATAAATCTCATCAAAACTTAAAATAGGAAAAAGAGTATAAATTGTACCATGCATTTAGGTGATTTTTACTAGCTAGTCCAGAAGTCATTGCTGAATCACTTCTCTGTCTGGCTTCTGTAGTAAAATCCACTTTCTGGCAGTTTGCTTCGCTCAGTCTCAACTATTTTTATTTTTATTTATTTTGAGCCTATTTCAGTATTTTCCTCTTAAGTCTGAGTTACTCCCAGTTGCTTTGTTCTCCATTAATGAAATGCACATTCCCTCTCCTTTTTTTCTATTTTTGCTGCTTTTTCTGCAGCTGCAGGAATTGTATCCAGGGAGGAAATAAAATGCTTGCTCATGTTATTTGTCCTACAACTGACAGGATGCATTCTGTTTGCATAAGAGGTTTGGGGCTGTATTCTTAAATATTGTAACTTTGGACAGTCACTAAATGAACTGTTCTAAGTCTAGGACTAGACTTCGCCCAGCCTGGTTGGAAAAGCGCCCAGACGGGGAGAGAGAGCGAGAGAGAGAGCGAGAGAGAGAGAGCCAAGAGGGTGACAGCACTGGCAGAGCTTAATTCAGCTTCCTCCACAGAAAAGGCCGCGAAGCAGCGCAGCCTCCCTTAGGAAATGCTCGACAGAAACGAATCTGGCACTGCAACGGTCCCCAGTTCGAAGCTGTGCGGAGATGGATAGAGGAGCGGTGTCTAGGTTCCTATGACCATCGGAACTATGTGTTTTCCGATGGTCTTAGGCGACCCCTTTGAGAACCTCTGGTCTAGAGAGAGAGAGAGGGTATGGCAGTTGGCTTTTGTGCCTTCTGTGACACAAGTCAGCTTGAGCTCACTTACCCGATGCATGCGATCACAGTGTCACTTTGCCGGGCAATGAAGTGGCACAGCCTTTCGTGGGATCCTGAAATATCACAAAGAAGTGTTTGAATTGATGTTCAGATGAGAATGTCCCATTTCTCCCACCCCTAACTTGTATGTTTTTATCTGAGCACATGCATTTTTCCCCTTTGGTCCTTGGCATGCTGCAGAAGAATCAAGGTACCCCTTAGGCCAGGGATGGCGAACCCTTTAGAGACCGAGTGCCCAAACCACAATCCAAAACCGACTTATTCATCACAAAGTGCCAAGGCCGCATTGGGGGTAGGCGTAGTCCACTGGGTGGGTGTGGTTGCTGTGGTCATGGCAGATTGAGTGGGCATGGCTGGGGTGGGTGTGCCCATTTTGATGTTGCTTGTGGGGGGATGCCTGTGGGGGCTGGCAGAATTGGGGGAGATCCAGGGGGTCTCTGGTGGATGGGGCGTTGGCAGGAGGTTCGTCCTGAGGGGTGAGGCAGGGGTAGGGCGGGGGTGCCATTGCTGCAGGGCAAGGCGAGACAGGGGCGGCTGCTGCCTGATACCATCAGCCCCCGCACACAGGCCAGCGACGCAGGGGGGCGTGCTCTACCACCTCTACTTGAGCTTGCTAGCCAGCTGCTTCACCTCCTTTGTGCTGGGTGGGGTTGCCGCTCTGGGTGCCAGCGGCGGCCTAATGGACCTATGCAAGCTGACGATGGCGGCAAGTGTGCCACAGAGAGGGCGCTAAGTGCCGCCTCTGGCACGCGTGCCATAGGTTCGCCATCACTGCCTTAAGCCAAACATTTGTCCGTCCTTCTTTCATATCAATCAAACAATTATTTGGAAAACCTACGGGGGCTTCCAAACAAGCCTGCTCCTCCATGGATCCAGACAAGTCCTCGTCTGTTCTCTGGACTTGCTCTTTTGGGACAACAGACCATCACCGGCACTCTGTCAAAAAGCATTTCCTTGACAATCAAGTCAGATGGTTTCCTGGGATGTATTCCATTCCCAAGGAGCCTCCATATGAAAAATTCATGGCAGATGCCAAGTTTATCCAGAATCCTGGCCTGCACAGGGGAAAGACAAGAAAGAAACCAAAGAATAACACACAAAGGATCTGTTTAGATCAGCGGTTCTCAACCTATGGGTCGCGACCCCATTTGGGGTCGATCGTCCATTTTACGGGGGTCACCAAAGAAGGCGATCCGCCATTTTCCCCCCTCAGGGGGCGCCGCCGTGCATGCGCACCGCGCATGGGGGCGCCGCCGCACAGCGCATGGGGCGCCACCGCGCATGCGCGCTGCGCATGCACGGCACGTTTGTGTGATGGGGGTCGCCGTCACACAAACGTTGAGAACCACTGG